GTGAAACTTATTAAAGTTTTATTTAGTAATTAAATTATCACTGTATGAACAATTACTAAAACATAATTAAAAGTAATATAAAAAACTCAGGATCCCTATCTAGAATGAAAAAAAAATTTCATCATAGAGATAGATAAACTCCTCAAAAGTTTTGATATAAGTGGTAAAAAATTATGTAGACATCTCAATTATTGGATAGATGATTAGAAGGATTATATTATGGACAAAGATATCGATACCCTTATAACAATAGTCGATCGCGAGAGTTTTTAGAATAAAATTGAGAAGTTTGCAAAAGGTAAAATTACATTGTTATATTTCAAATATGAATGTCAAAGAAAATCTAGTAGAGAGGATAGAAATACGAGAGATAGAAGAAAATGGATAGAGAATTTCAATGAAGAAAGAATTGAATGAATAGAAAAATTAAATGATAAAAGTAATGAAGAGTACTGTAAATAGTTCAGTGAGTGAGTAGATAGTAAAAAGAATTTTTTTATTATTTCTAATGATAATAAACCATTTAATAATTATGTTGATCCATCTAATTTTTGGAAAAACATTGAGGAAACTACAAAAGGAATATTGAAATCTATAACTCCCAATTGCTCATGTGCAAGTTCTATTAAGATTAAAGGGAATATGGAGATAATGGAATGGATACATATATTTTATAAAGGAGATGAAGATCAAATAGGAAAATTAAAAATATCTAATAACTATTGAGGAAATTTTAATAAATGATTAATATAAAGAAAGGAGATTTTATCAAAGTTTGTAAAAATATATTTTTTACTGATATGGATTATGAAAGTACATGAAATAACTTGGATAATTTTCTAGTAAGAGAAGTGATAAAATTACCACCTCAATTTTATTGTTCTAGAAATTATTATGAAAATGAAAAAATCTAAAAGAAGGCGGATAACGTACTTTAACAGTGAAAAAAATAAACATATTGAAAAATTTAAAGAAAGTATGAGTAAAAAAAATTGCACAAGTTTTAATTATTGGATGAATGAAAGAAGAAGCAATTTTACTAATCCACAAACATGGGGTACACATAATTTTACAAGTCATGAAAAACGATAGGAAAATTTGGATAAATCCACAATGAGTAATATCAAAATGTATATTCCCATTTTAACTGTTCAAGGATAATTCTACAAAAAGGGATCCAATTATCACTGTAACTGTCACTTCTCCTAATATAACAAAATTAACCCTGAATGATAATAAATGTGATCATAAAACAATTTCAAACAATTCTATAAATACATATCAACATCCTTTAATTAACGTAATACAAAAATGTGATACTATAAAAGCTATCACTAAATCTATTTCAGCTACCTTTATATCTACTTCACCCACAACCACCCAATCTGCAAATACTCTATTTACAGAAACTTTATTTTTAAGCAGTACATCTTAAATATTTACACCTGAAGTTATAATAACTGGATCTTTAATACCTCAACCTTCTATTCCCACAGGAAATCTATCAATAAATACAAGCACAAGCCATGATTCATTAATAACAGAATTACAATAACATGGTTTTAAATTAAAAGAAACTACAACTATCCTATTAATATCTTCTTCATTTGCACCTACAAATTGCAGTGAAAATTCTTAAGCTACTATAGCGGAAGAAAGTAATACTACGAGAGAAATTAAACTCAGAAATTTTCAATTCCTTTCACATACAAATGAAACAGAAAAATTAACATCCTCTTATAATACAAAAAATGCAACTACCGACGCTGAAATTCCAAGTACTACACCTATAATTGATCTTCGTTCAAGTGTGTTATCTACAGTTGATTCATTTACAAATGATTCATCTACAACTTTATTATCTCCAAATATCTCTCCTACAGTTTATTCGCCTATTTTAAATATAAATACTTCTTTCACTACTATTTCACCTACAACCACATTTTCAACTACTCCATCATATACATCTATACCTACATCTCCATCTGTGTATTATTTACAATAGCTTACAAATGTAAGTCAAAGTTCTTTAGACACTACATTTAAAACATCCAATATACCAGAAGTTAAAGGTACTATTATACTCCTGGTTAATAAAAGGCTTCATTAACCTTTTTGGAAAATAAAAGGACTAGTTAAATGAAGTATACGAAGTTGGTCATGTATACACACAAAAATAAAAAAATTGATGATTTTTTTTTTGTTTGTACTTTTTAAAAAAAAGTACAAAGACTGTTAGGAAAAAAAAAAATTTGATAAAAAAAATGTAAAAATAGTCAGGAAAAAAATTGATTAAAAAAATCAATTTTTTAAAATATTTGTTACTAAAAAAAATAAATAAATAAAAAAAAAAAAAAAGGAAATTTTTTTTTTTTGAAGGGAGGAATTAAAGGAAATATTTTTATGATGAATTTTGTAAAATAAAATTTTATACAGATAACAATAAAATTTTCATGTAATTAATATTTATATAATTTATTCTGTTTTTGTTAATAATTGTTTATGTATGTTAATTCAACAGCAATATAAAATAATTGCTGAATATAACTCATAATAAATAAAGTAGTATTTATAATTAATTAATAATTAATGTTAAATAAGTATTTAAATTTTTAATAAAAATAAGGATTTTTATTAAAGTAAATAAATGCCTATTGAAATAAAAGAATGCTGAACGAAGTATATTATAATTAAAGATCACTCGTTCAAAGCAAATAAAAATATATATAAATATACAAAAATCGTAGAGGCACCTCTATATGCTCTTTATTAATTGGTTTGTTCAGTACTATAGTAAATTCCCCGAACGCCCAGTTAATAAAACAACTCCCAAATGATATTACTATAAATGATATAACTACTCCTAAAATAACAATGATACTCTAACAGAAATTTCTACTACATATCAAAACATGTCTTTTTCTTATACAACTATTGCACGAATAGATAAAGTAAATGCATCTGAAACTACTCCTAATTATAATAATTAATTCACAGTCAGTTCATCTGTTGTCATTCAATATAAATCTACTACAGATGAACCTCCTTTAAATGGTTCTCTAGAATCTCTCTTCCTTGCATATATCTCCACAAGTTAGAACAAATCCATCTATAATTAATAATGCAATCAGAGATTCTATGGATATTAAAACAGAAATTCATATCAATACAGAGCATCAAAATTCTGTTTCACCTACTTCATATATCCACATTTCATATACATCTGTTGATGTAACTTATACATCTCCAAAATAACATAACACATAAATTCAATGATACAGCAACTAACGTTACTATATTATCTACAGATAATTTATCTAAAAATATTTCAGATTTTCATTTTTATAAAACGGATATTTCCTTAAGTGAAGAAAATACACATAATATTACAAAAAAATATACAAATAGTTCATTCACTTCTATAACACCTCTAATAAGATCAACTATTAATAAAACAAGCATTAATTCCAATAATTAAACCTTAAATATTACAAAAAATAATACTTCAATTAGTCTATCTTTACCTTTTATAACTGTAATAGAATCATTTGTTCCTTTAAATATTACATCTCATGTTTCAACTAAAAGAAATGCATTGCTTATTGCTGCTCTTCTTCTTGGTATAGTCTTTTTAGGAATTATTCTTATTCTTATGCTTTACAAAATAAGATAAAATAGATTTAAAAATGTATATACTTCTATTACATTTTTAATTTTTTACTTCAATTAAAACTAGATCAAATCAAAAATACCTAAATTTTATATAACTTTTTATTTATACAATAGTATACGTCCATTGGATCATGGCTTGGTAATTGTAAATTCAAGGAAAAAAGACCACGTAATAAGATAGAAAAAATAACATTTAAAAAAGAATCATTATTTCCAGAGTTAATAGTAAATCAGAAGAAAATTAATTTACAAAAATCAGAATTAAATAATGAGGTGAATAGTTTACCATGTGAACTTATATTTGAAGATGAAGTAAAATTAAATAAAAAGTTTGAAGAATCAGAATTATAATCAAAAGTATATGAAGAAAACAAAGAATTAAAAGATAATAAAGAAGAAAAAAAAAAAGAAGATGTAAGTGTAAATGACAATGATAAAGAGTGGAAAGAAAAAATAGTGAAAAAATGGGATGGAAAAAATATAGAAAAGAACAACAATTCTACATTAAAGCAGAAAAAATGTAAATGGAATACTATCATATAGGTACATAAGGTATTATTAGAAGAGTGCAAAAAAGAGGAGTGGTAATTGAATAGAGATAAATTTTTAGAAATATATTTTAAAGAATTCACAAATAATGAAAAATAAATATACCTAATAAAATAGATAATGAGTTATTAGTAGGGATAAAAGAAGTATAAAGTAGTGTCAATGTATTAGAAAAACAAAAATTTTTATGGAATAAATGGATAGAAAGACACAATAGTATATTAGAAAAGTGAAAAAAGGAAGAAGAAATATATTTAGAAACAACATAAAAATAGGAAAAATATGAACGTGAAATAAAAAATCCCATTCAAGAGAGGCAAAAAAAAATTTGTAATAAGTGGATATAGAGGCAAAAAAAATGCCTATATTGTTTTAATAAAGAAATTTGGTTAAAGGGAAATTATAAGAATATAAAAAACGAGTAATTGAAGAAGAAATAACACAAAGAAAGAAAACACATACAGAAAGGAATAACGGAAATGTAGAGACACCTAAGAAGAAAAAATTGAAAATGAAAGTGTTTATAGAAATACATATGTTAATATTAGATGAGTAAATGAAAGAAAAATTGGAAAGAGACAAAAAAGAATTTTTTAAAAGATGCATAGAGGAACTGAAAAAACATAAAATTTTTGATCAAAGATCATATATACTAGAAACTGAGAATGAAAAAAGTAGTGATGAAATATTAAAAAGAAAAAACGATAAAATAGAAATATAGAAAAGAGAAAAATGCTTTTTAGAATTAATTATAGAATGGAAAAAAAAGGAGAACAAACATGGAGGATATAAAAAAAAATAAAGATAGAATTGAAAATCTTATGTTAAAGAATCAACAAATTATATGGAAGAAGCACAGGAAAGATATGCGAAATAAGTGGATAGAAAATAGCAATGGCGAAGAATGGTTTAAAAAATTGATTATCGAAAATAAAAATATAGAAGAAGGATATAAGGATATAATAGATATAAAAAACATAGAAAAGAAAAAAAGAAGTGAAATAAATGGATAAAAGTACGAAAAAATGGAAGAGGTGTAAAAGAAAAAAAAAAGAAATAAATAAAGAAAAAAAATTATATAAAATCGAACGGATAGAAGAATAAAACAAATCTTCTAAGGAATTAACCATGAAGAAAAAGCCTAAGTGTAAGTCTATACGAGAAATACATATTATAGTGTTAGAAGAATGCAAAAAAAAGAGTAGGAATTGACAAAGGAAGACTTATTAGAAATTTGCTTGGAAGAGTATATAAAGGAAATTAAATAGAATCCAATTATTCTAAAAGAAGAAAGAATTATGAATAAAAGATGTGACGAAAATAGTAAAAATGAATCGCATAAACAAAATTTACCTTGAAAACAATAAGAACAGATAAATATAAAGACGATAAATAAATGGAAATATGAAGAATAGTTTATTTATATTAAAAAAAATGGAAAAAAGAAGAAAAAGGATGTATAGAAACAAGTGCAGAAAAAAAAAATCATGGAATGGACAAAATATATAAGAGGAAACCCTATATTAGAGAAACAAAAAATAATATGGAGAAGATGGATAAAAAATAACATCAAAGATTTAGAAAAATGGGATAAGGAAGAATCGTTTAAAAAAGTGATAGAAGATTACATAAGACTAGATAATGAAGAAATGAAAAAAACAGAAATAAAATATCATTCATATATTATGAGAAAATGTGAAAGAGTAATAGATATAAATGAACAAGTAGAAAATATAAAGAAAAAAAAGTTGATATCTAAAGTGTGCATAAATATATAAATATGACGATACTGGAAGACTGTAAAAAAGAAGAGTTAGAATTGATGAGTAATGAGTTTCTTATATCATACATAGAAAAAAAAGAAAGAAGAGAAAAATCCTACGAAAAGGAAGCAGAAAAAGTAGTAACTGATATAAGGAAAAAAAAGAATGGAATATTTTGAAAGAGTTGAAGAAAAAGAAATGCGAAAATTGAAATAAAAAAGATAGTTTTTACTTTGGAGGTTAAAATGGAAAAAGGACGAAATAAAATATATAAAGTAAAATGAAACATTAAAAACAATGGGAAAATTGAAAAAAGGAATTAAATGGAAATCATTTGAAGAAAGATATAAAATATGGAAAAAACAATGATTAGAGAGTCAAAGGAATATACTAAAAGAAAAAAAAAAAAAAAAAAAGGCATAAAAAACCTTTGCCACAGATATGTAAGCAAAAAGAAGGGGTAGAAAACATTTCAAACAACATGGATGTTACAATATTTTAAAATCCAATATATTGTATTGGTTATTAGAAGTTATTATTAACCTTTTTGAGAATAAAAAAATTAATAGCTGCATGAAAAATAAATACATAGCCATACAATCATTAAATAAAAAAAAAAAAATTGTTAATTTTTTTTTTATGAAGAGAAAAAAAAAAATAAATAAAATATATCTTTATTTTTTTTTTTTAAATAATTAAATTGTTGATTAACAGAAGTTACTGGTAAATAAGTTTCTTTGTAGTAGATTTATATTCAAATTTTTACCAGAAAATTTTACATTAACAATACTAAAATTTTTTGTGTTTGAAGCATTTATACAATTTAATTTGTATTCTATTATTTACTTATATTTATTAAATTTAGAAAAGCGGAATTTAATTTCTAAACATAACTCATAACATTGTAAATAAAATATATGTTACAAAAAATCATTCAATAATTAATAAAGATTTAAATTTTTAATAAAAATATAGGGTTTTTATTAAAGTTAAAAAAGGCCTCTTAAGAGCAATAAACTCTCAATGAAGTAGATTATATAAATGCGATTTACTAGTTTATAGAATTAAAATTATATTTAAATTCATTAAATTAGTAAAGTCATGTCTACAAACTCTTCGTGAAGGTATTTTCTCAATATCCTAGCAAAGTCATTGAATAGGCAATTATTAAAACAATACTAGAAAGAATTAGTATGTGTAATAAATTTTAAACAAAGAACAAAGATCTATAAAAACAAATACTAAAAGAACTACTTAGTCCTAAAATATGTAGAAGTAAAATAAAATTAAAAAAATAATCATACATTAGACAAGTACTTTTTAATACACTAAAATAATAAAAATAATAAAGAATATTAAATATAAAAAATTGGGTAATTTTATTTTTAAAATATTCTATAAACAAACAATATTTCAATATTGAAATACGATGAAAGAACAATTCAAATTGTGAAACCTTCTTATACAGTGATAAAGAAGTGTGTTAGTGAATAAAAGACATTGTTAACCTTTATGAAATAATAATTAATAATTTTATGAAAAATATGAAGTTAAACTTACATATTCTCTAGTTTAAAAAAAAAAAAAATGATTCTTTTTATTTTTTTTTTGTAAGTTTTTTTATTTTGATAATGGTCTTATATTTATTATTTTTTTATTTTAATTTTTCTGTTGAAAACTTTTTAATCATTGAAAAATATTTTATTGGAGAGACAGAGTTATTTTATCAAAAAGAAATTTATATGTTTTTGAATTATGTTTTAATTTTTATGTATTTTCTTTAATTTGAAATATGTGGAAATAAATTTCAAACAATTATTAACATAACTACTATTAAATATTTTGTACTTAAAAACCAATAGTTAATATATGTTAAAATTATCATTAAAAATAATGCATTTTTATTAAAGTAAATAAATGATTCTTAAAACAATAAATATTAAAAGATGTAAATTATAAATATAAAGCTTAGTTATTCGTAGCGTTATAATTAATTTTTATATTAATTAATTTAGTAGAAGGAATCCGCATGCTCATTATTAATTTATTTCTTCAATATTCTAGAAAAGTTATTGAAAAACAAATCCATAAATCGTTAATCTATAAATATGAAACAAATTTTTTTTATATCTTATTTTTTTTATCACATTCTTTAATAGTTTTTTTTTTACAAACTATTGTCATGTACTTCTTTTAAACTAAATCATTTACACATAAAATCCTAAAAAAAAAAAGTCATTAATTTTTTTTTATATAACACTCTATTAATGATATTACAAATCGCTTTTGTGTAACATTTATATAAACAAATAGAATAAAAGCATTTTTTTTTGTTCATACTTAATAGTGGGGATATATTGCAATAATAAATCCAAACACTGAAATAGTTACTAAAAGAGCTAAAAGAAAATTATATATATATTTTTTTTTTTTAAGTTAAAATGTAATATTAAAGAAACTATATTTTGGAATGTGTAAATTAACTTAAAAAAAAAATGACTACTAAGTAGTATTTGATGTCGATTAATAAAAATAAAATTTTTTAAATTAAAATTAAATCAGAGTTTACATGCTCTTTATTAATTTGCTTCTTTGGTACTAGTAAAACCATTGAACAAACAATTAATGAATCGTATACATATATATCAAAATCCTGAAAAAAAAAAATTTTAATTTTACTTCTTAATATACGAGAACTTTATTGTAATTATTTTACTACTCCTATCTTTGAAAACATACCTTCATTTGTAATTTTAACGGTACATATTATTAGATGAGTATTTTTGTATAAAAAATCGTATTATGCATATCTTCATACATACATCTTTTGAATACTTTGTATGTACTAGTAATTTTTAGAAGCAATTTTTTTCATTGTTAATATTTCAAAAAGATCAATAATATATTTGACCAAGCATTAACTAACAACGGTGGTTTACTTAATCTTATAAAAATTTTTTTCAATTATTATTAAATCATAAATCGCCATTATTAAAATATTCAAATGTCAATAAAAAAATTCAATATTTTATTCTAAATAAATTTATAAAAAAGTCAGCATCTTTCAACCATTTAATTTTTTTTATATATCTTAAAAATATATATATTTTTAATTAGCTAATTATTATTTTATCATTGTGGATGTTGCTAAGGAACTGTAACTATTTATTTTACCTTTATTTAACTAATTGTTTTGTTTAGAAAGGTTAATAATATTCTTTATTAACCATATGTTTAAGATATTCATTCAGATTTTGTTGTTTAAAATTCATTCGTATAGTATAATATAAAAATAGACAAATTGACACTTGTTCTAAAAATTTATTTGGATAAATATGATTTCTTTTTCTTTTTTTTTTTTTCTCTGTAAATTTTTAAATAAAAAAAAAAAGTAAATAAACCTTAATTTATTTTTCCATTATTATAAAAATATTATTTCCCATTAAACTTACGATATTTTTATATGTTCAAAAGAAAAACCTATATAAACTAAAATTAATATTATTTATTTCTATTTAATACTTATAAAAAGAAGTCCTGCTTATACTTATAGAAAAAATGTGTGAATTTCAATAACGAATATATTTTTAAGAATAAAGTTAATTTTGAAGAATCTATAAAATATTATATCTATTAACTTTGATTATTGTAAAAAAAAATGAAACTTGAAAAATAAAATATAATTTTTTATATTATTTTGTTTTTATTATAATTTTTTACTCAAACATGAATTATTACATGAATTATGGAGAAATGCAATTATTAAATTATTACTTTTTCAAACCAGTGAAAAACTTTATATATACTTATTTTCCAAAAGAATTTTAATATATTTTATATTTTTATTTAACTTTGTAATGATAATTTTCTAATAATTGTCATATAAAATCATTATAATTCTTTTATTTTGACAATTGTTATCAAAATTATAACTTACACAATAAAACGATATATAAGTTTTATATGTTAATCATTTATATGTTGAATTTACTTGAGTATTTATTTAATGATTGGAAATTCAAATACTTATATAACTTGTTAAATAATTAAGGAAGATAATAAATAGATATCTACATTTATTTTGTTTATGATATTATTAATTATTGTAAATAACATCAATTATTTGTAAATTATACTAGGAAATTTAGCACAAATTTTATTTTACTTTTAAAATAAAATTTGCTATATTTATGTAGCTTTTAAATAATTTATTACTTAATACCAACTTTATTATTTATTTTATAACTGAG